GGTAACAAAACAACATAACTAAAGAACTAAATTGATCTTATGAAAACATGTTTGTTCAAGGGACAATTCTTGCTATCATGATGGACATTGCACGATCTATAGAGCTTTTTGGGATGTTTTGATTCTTCAATATACACCTCCTTCGAACAGTTGATCCTCATACCATAATCTTTATATCTTGAAAATGAATAACCACCTACATATATAGCAAAAAACGTGAGAGGATGATTGAAGAAACACATCATTCTTTTCTTGTGGCAATTGCACTATAACACAATTCAGATGACAATTGTGCTACTAAACAAATGCAACCTACATCGGGCATAAATGCATTACATCTTTAGAGTATTCAAACAATGAAAAAAACACCTACATAAATATAGACATATTAAAATTGTTTTGATTTAGTAACAAAATAGCAGTTTGAACAAATTCATGATATACACTACGTGTATTAAAAAATTAGGAGTCAAATCAAAATAAAGCTATTGTATATTACTAGACATACATGTTGGAATTCCAAAAAAAATTACGGTGAAAAGAGACACAAGATCATAACCATTTTAAGCTTCTGAATCAAATTCAAATAAGAAGTTCTTACATTGAGACATACGAATGAATTAGTTTTATTATCACATGAACTAATCTGGTCATTAAAAACACTACAGAGCACTGTAATTGTGCAGAAAAGGAAGGTCATAGTAGCATGGTTAATTATAGACTTCAATCGAATTTTAAGTAAATAACGCCCAAAAATCTGCAACTCTTAGGCGTTTCACAATTTAGCGAGTTGTTTTGGAATTAAAACAGAACTCAGACGCAGTTTTTTTTTGTATTCAATATCAATTTTAGGAAGATTATTTGTATTCAAAGAAACTTCATATAACCTTACCTGATTCTGAATCCATGACATTTGACGACATCGTGTTTACCCTTGCCTTTCAATGACACACGAATGGAGAGAAGCAGATGAAACGCAGGATGGTTGAGTCGCAAGATGTGGTGTTGATCGCAGTTATGGAAACAGAGGTATTAACGGAAAGAGAGCCGGTGTACTAATCGTGATTCTATTTCCATGTTTACACAAATATGCAATGGCATAAATACCCTCAGGTCAATTAATTTTTTAATCGTAAAATTAAAACAGGCGCACGAAAATCAGGCTTAGATGGATGGCTTAGGATGATTTTGCATTTTGTAAATTAAGTTAGGTTTGTATATGATCCCAAGGGAAGTAAGATGTTTGTTTACAAACCACTCCAGAAAACCTAAAGCCGCCAGAGGTCTGGCAAATCCTCCCAAAAGACGAAATCCGTCCAAGTTCTCAAACTGGATTCTACTCCATTGATCGGCCGAAATCAAGTGTTCTAAATCGGAAATTTCCTGAGATGGTTAAGAAGTACACGATACGTTCAAGATTGCACCATAGCCGCTTGTCCAGATTTTCAGCAGCCCCGGAACCGACTTTTCAAATTGAAGGCTTCCGCCGTTAATGGCCGATTGTGAGGGTCCTCAGTCCCTCTCATCTCTGCCAGCGACACAAGTCGACGGAGAAAACTGCTGAGACTTCCCCATCTCTGAAGACCGCACACAAGCACGAAGGTTGGGCACGACAGATAAGGAAGGCGGATAACACTACAAACAAAGATTTCCTTGTCGCCATATGTCTTAGCCTCACGCTACTGAATTTGGAGCCGTGTATTCCTTATGGAAAAGTTTGATTTGACGACAAGGCTTCTAAGGATTCTAAAGTGGTTATGGAGAATTTTGACTAGGGTGGGCACGGTTCGGGACGGTCTGGTACGGTACGGGATGAGTCTTTATCCCAATGTTGTCACCTTTCTCTTTTTGGAAAGAAATATGTTGTTCACAACATTTCACTTTACTATACTCAAATATCAACCACAACTTTTACCTTTTCAACCACTTTATTAAAAATTGTGTCAAAACCAACCAAAGGAGACACATAAAATGGGACGGAGGTAGTACTATATAAGTTATATTATTTATATATTATATATTAAAAGATATTATAAAAATCATAATAATAAATATAATTGATATAGTATCACTTTGATCTCGGGGGCTAGTCATCCCGAATATAGAATTCAAACTACACAGCCCGAACGACGAGTCGAGCTATATCATTATTAATTTTTATTATTGATTGGTGTGCATTTTTTGACATTGAAGAACGGACTTATGAACACTCAAATACGCTCGAACGAGTACTAACACTCGAACTACCGGGTCACATCAGACGAGTGTGATTTATAAGCTCACGGTCTAAATATCACATAGTGTATGCTCTCGTTCCTGTGTTTTGTATTGGTCATGTGAGCTCCTCTCTAGACTTCATGCTCCGATCTTGGGGGTAGTCATCCCGAATATCAAATTCAAACTACCAAACCCCAAGTGGCGAGTTGAGTCCTAGATACGGGCCACACTCCACTAAGCACAGAAATCTGGATCGAAAATTGGATGTCATTTACTTAGGCTCAAATCCAATAGTGAACTCCAGAAATTGTCACTATTTAATTTAAATGCATAAGTACCCCTGGATGAGGATTATCATACTGGTCTCTCAAGCTCATCGCAGTTATCTATCAAACAAAGATGAAGCCGCAGACAGAACATATCGGAAGCATCAGGCGGTCATTGCAGCTAAATACATCGGCCGATGGGTCCACCCTTTTCATCATTTTGGGGGCATCCGGTGTACTTTTTTTCCCTCGCTAGGATTTTTTCCCACTGGGTTTTTCCTAGTGAGGTTTTTAACGAGGCATCTCCCCATATGAACGAAAGGTGACGGCCCTCGACCCCTAGAGGAGTCATTACGAGGCATCACCAGCTCTACTCCTCTCTATGTCACCACACCCGCCTCAAAGAATGAAGAATTTCAAGAATGGGAAAGGAATCAAATTACTCCTAAAAATTTCAGTCCTGCTGATTTTAAGGAGTAGGGGGGCTCGTGATGGAACAATGGATCACAGCCATGGCCCAAGATTGAATTAAAGCAAAGCCCATCTACGGGACCAGCCCTCAATGGGATCAGCCCTCAGCGAGATCAGCCTAATTAACAGGATTAGCCCATAAATGGGAGTAATATCGAATGAGCCACTGGACCCATTGGGAATCAGGCCCACGATAGGAACCCACAGCCAGGCCGGGCTGGACTGCAGACCTCGAGCCTAGGCGGAGTTCTAGTGAGGCCGGGATATTTCTGAATCCTGAGGTCTACATGGCAAGGTACCATTCGAAGATAGATATTTGGCTACATAAGAATTCAGCAACTAAAAGGAGAAAGTAATCGTGTGGGAATCAAGCATCGAAGGAGTTTTATTTCGAGCAAGAATATAGTTCATTAATTAAGCATTTATTGTATTAGATTCCTCCCATAATTCTACTTCCTAATTTCTATAAATACTTCATGTAAACACCCTACCAAGGGATCGACAATTGGTTTTCCGGAATAAGAGTAATACTGCCTTACGCTGCCATATTGCTTTCGATATTATTTCTATACTTTACGTATATTTAGCTCTCGTAGCTGGATTAAACTCCAATAATAAAGATGAATACGTCTTAATGTTATTTTGGTTTTAATCAACAACAATGTAACCCCAAATTATATTTGAATTCACACACATGCCTCTTTCTTTATTAAATCTAGAATCAAGTTAAGGTTTGTTTAGATTATATGAAAACTACTACTTAGACTTGGTTGAATGCGTGAATCTGATGTTGATATCAATCTTTTCTTTTGTCAACAAAACTCATTGACCTCTTATGTAGCTTATGTGATTTAAAGTGTGTCTCTTCTAATTAATTTTTGTTTCTTAAATTTAAAGGTAATTAGCATATTGGATTTTCTATCTTCTTTTGTTGAACGAAGTACTCTGTTTTCCAAAGTATCTTTTTATACTAAAAGCTTGGAACTAAATTGATGTACTAATTATGATTATAATTATAATTATAATCATAATTATAATTATAATTATATTATAACAATATTAATATTATAATAACAAATTATATTATTATTATTATAACAATAATAATATAATAATAATATAATAATAACATTATTGTTATGTCATAATATTAATATTATTACCATTGTTATATTATTATTATTAGTATTATTATTATATTATTGTTATTATTAATATATTATTATTATATTAATATATTAATATTATTAAGTATTAACAATAACTATAATATAATAATTATAATAGTGATAATTGTAATTAATATAATAATAAAAGTGATAAATCATGTTTGAATTTTTCTGATCTGAATGTTTCTGATCTATTCTAATTTGATCTGAATGTTTCTGATCTGATTTGAATCTTTCTGATTTGATCTGAATTTTTCTGATGTGAATAAAATAAGAATAAAGAATAAGTAATAAGATTAAGACGAAGAGAACAGCTTCTGAGTTGCCATTGAGTAGTAATGTAACTACTTAGATCATAACCAAGTTGATAAAGTCAAGCCATATGGGCATATGGCCCATATCCATATTTTATTATAATAAGTAATATTATCGAGGTCTATAAATTGGAGAGAGAAAAGTATCTTCTATTTAGGTGTAGGACAAATAATAGAAAGAAATGGAATCAAAATATAACTAAAAATAAACCGTAGGTGTAATAAGGTGAACATGTAGAAAATCGTAACCGTCCATTACCCATAAAAATAAAACGGTTATTCCCACAATCCCACCCCAACCTTGTTACTCAATCAATGTTGTTTTCCTCATTTTAACCGGAATGATTCAGTGCAATATCCACCATATTGGTCACAATTGTCATCCATACTTTCAGTTTGTTTTCCGGCCCGTACTCTTGGGTGGGAATGGGTCATGTGGCCAACTTGTTACGGACTTACGGGCCACGACAATCCCTCAAGCACTCATCAGCGCTCACATGTTTTTTTAATTCACTTGACCATTATGAATTCAAAGAGTGGGAAAGATAGTAACAAGGATGAAATGCAACAACAATAATAGCTGATGATATTTCACAAGTTTTAAAGAAAATTCATGCAGTAAAAAAACAGATATGTCAAACTCTGATAACATAGGGTATGCACAAGACCAAAGACAGTTAAAAATAAGGACAACATTCATTGTACATGCCTCGCAAGTATCTGCGGATGATTTTCTGCAACTGGGAATATTGTTAGCATCCCATTGTAATAATATGTTAATAATAATAAAGTCATAAGCCATATCTCACATTCCATCTCCCTTTAAGATCTACGTTCAGCGTCCAATTATTTTCCCTAATCTGCACATACGGGACCTGATACCCACAACAACAAAATATAGATTAATTGAATGTAGAAGGGTAAAATTGCAATAACAAAAAAGAGTAACAAATGCTGTCTTGAAAATGTAAAACTGACAACTAATTTGGGAAGAGAAAAATTGGAGGAAAAAAGCAACATCCTACTCTTTGGAACAAGGGGATACTACCTCCGTACCGGCTTAAGCTTCTATTTAAATATGACACGGTTATTTAGACAATAGTTGAATAAGGTAATTCGAGTACATTTTAAGACGTTTTGATGCGTATATAACATAATGAGGTCATTAATGAATACTATGATGTTTTTTTACGGAATGAATACTATGATGTTAAATGACAATTTAATCATTATATATTAAAAAAGAACACATTTAACATGATTATTATGATGTTAAATGTGTTCTTTTTTAATATCTAATGATTAAATTGTCTGTTAACGGGGCTAATTATTTCCTAAATAAAAAATGAGAAACTTTAACTAGGACGTCCAAAAGAGGCAAATGAAAAGCTTAAGCTGTGACGGAAGGCGTACAAAACATTGGCAAGAACGTAAAATACATCCACTAAGCATATGGGTTATGGGTTTCACGAAATTCAGATATTTTAAAGTTGCAGTGGCAAACTTAGGATAAAAGTAAGCATGCATGTGAATTGCAATGAAGATGTGCCAAGGAATATAAAAAACATCTGAATTAATTCCACTTTTGATCCTACGAGTTTTATGTCTTTCCATATTTAGTTCACGTCTTTCACTTTGTCCACTGTTGGTACTCGACTAATGTTTCTTGACCATTTGTTGTCCTTCTCCAGCGATTTTAACCACCGGAATAATTGCCGGAAGAACCATATATGGTGAAAATACAATAGTCATGTACCAAAAGTGTTCAAAGAAGTGGACCAATTGTAAAATTGGTGTGATACTCGTAGGACAAAAAGTGGAATTTATTCCAAACATCTTCTCCATACGAAGTCAACTTTCATCAGAGTTTGGTTAAAGCATGACACTAAAAAATTGACGCTTTTTCGTTTTACCAAATCACTTCTTATAAAATTGCAACACTTTGAAATTTCACTTTTTCAACACACAACTTTCACCAATAATATATTCAATTGACGGTTAGTAAAATTATAAAAAAAAATAGTTTTGAAATCTTACTTTGAGAAAAAAGTTATAATATTTATAATAATATTAGTTTTTAACATTAATAAATAAAATGTACTCAAAGTAGAATATGTCAATACTGTAAAATTCAAAGTGTTGCAACTATTATTAAAGAATATAGGAAGAGGCATTATTTATTCCCTTCCGAACTTTAAAGAAAGAACTGATTTTGAAGGACCTTTTCCATGCAGTTGGGAGGTAAAATGTAATGAACTATAGTGCAATAGAAATATTACCAAACAGATGGGATGGGAACAAGTGTAAACTAAGACAAATTTACGGATATTCCTTCAAAATCAAGGCTTTCTTGGTTTCGAGAAAAGAAAAATAAATGGAGAAAAATAAGAGAAAGCATGTTTCCATAAATAAGAGAAAGGGGTATATAGTAAGAAAATAGGTGCAGGTTCGAAACCCGGCCATGGCGAAATTTCACTTTTTCTCATGTTTTTTCTTCTAGGTTTGTAAGTTTCCCACACCACAATGATCAAAGCAATTCTCCCTCTCCTTGCCTTACATAATGTTGGCCTTGTCAAGAAATTCTTTGATCAAAGAAATTCTTTGATCAAAGCAATTCCCCCTCTCCTTGCCTTACATAATGCATGGACCAAAACAAGGAGCGTGATAAAGAAGTCAGCGGACTTCTAAATGGCCTGAGATAATTGGGCCATGCATTGAACCAAACCTTTAGATAACGGGTTGTATGCGTGTTAATCGTCTGAGTAAATTGGGCCATGTTATGCTGAACACATATCTTTAAAATCATAAAGTTGGGGAAGTTTTGATTTGATAGATTTTTTCCGATTTAGGTACGATTTTATACGACTTTTGTGGGTTCCAATTTCATATACAATTCAAATCGATATCATGTTATAAAATCGTACACATCGCAATTTGGACAACCTTGATACTACCCACACGGTTTTTACAATCTATCATTTTATGTGATAACTCGATAAGATTGGAAAAAAATAAATTGTCCTACTTCAATGAGTAGGACCCACATGATTTTCCATTAATACCCTTTACAATCTAACATCTTAATGGAATATTTACAATCTAACATCTTAATGGAATATGTAGGGTTGTTTTTGTCGTTTTGAAAAAATAGCATACAACTCTTCCCGATTTCTTTTCCTCAAACAGCACATAAATGTCACCCACTTTCTCTTTCTCACTCTTCTCTATTTCTCATCTCAAGTCTCAATCAAACGAGAAGTCTTATGGAGCCATATATGACTCACTTGTGGAGTCAGATATGCTCACTTAATATCATCACAACCACTCACATTCAAAGTGGGGTCTCACTACTATTAAAATAAGTGGTGGTGGTGGTGGTGGTGGTGGTGGTGACGCCAAGTAAGCCTATATGACTCCATTAGGGAGTCATATATGGCTCTTTCGAATTTTTGCAACCAAACAAAGCAAAAATGAAGATAATGTGAAAATGCACCTTTTCAAAGGCTTCATATCCGACTTTGATCCTCAGGTCTTGATCTTTATTGAAGTTTGTAACATCCCAAATAAATTCCGCTGCCCCACTTGATTCTCTCTGTCAAGGCATTCATTAAAAAAATAGACAAAATAAATAAAAAGAAATGCTTGTTTAAACGCCAATACTATTCGGCAATGTTTTGATCCTCACATAAGCTCTGTGAAGAGGAAAATACAACCAACAAATGTTATTTTCTTATATTTGGTTTTACATCCAGACTCCAGAGATGAAGGAAAAGTGAAATACAATTAATGTTTTTTAGTCTCACATATGATTAAATTTAATAGTCTTTATATAAGAGAAATACATTAATAAAATGAGTTTAAACAAATACGTAGTATAAAAAAAATTTATCCAGTTTGAAACATCGAAGTATCGAACCAAAGTTTTATTTCCCCTACATTCTCGTTCCCGCTGAATAAATCCTGGATTTTCTTCTCAACATTCTCCCCCCAGCACTTTTCGAGCTCTAAACAGACCAGAACTATTGTACTATACCAATTCTAAAGCAATCTGTTCATAGTGCAGCAATCATAGTGTGTGGCAATAATGCAAACATGTATTGCTTGCTACAAACAACTATCCATTTATTACCAACCTGTTGAAATTCTTGATCAACATCACATCGCCCCTTGATTTGAAAATTAAGGCACAAATCAGTGGTAACACTAAATGATTTCTTCCCACGCACACTGTACCGGAGAGCCTTTTTCCTATCATATAGCAACCCAAAACTGAGTGAAGAATATACCTACAAAAATTCTCCAAGTCATCAAACTTCATAAAATAGAAGCAAACATTTTATAAGATATGTTGTTCTCCCTAGATCCTTCTAAATGTTTTTTTGTCCTTGAGCAGCTATTAAATCTTTCTCTAATGAACAAGAGATAAAAAGGTGATAGAAAAAAGATCATGCATTATGATAGAAGTGTCTTATCATTGCACTCAAGTGACTCGGACCTCCAGTCTCTGTGTCTAATTCCCCATGAACCTGTTGATCATATTTAACATAGCAAATGCAAGAAGGAATCATCAGTGAGCTAACTCTGAAAATGAATCTGACAACAAAGTATACTCTTGGGAAAAAAATAGCAACTGAAGCATAAACATACAAAAAAAGAGCCAAGAACTGTATTCTAAACTAGTTAAGGTGGTAAGAAGGAAGCAAACTAGGGCATAACACATTAACACCTAGGCGGGACCCGAGAGGGCTAGATGAAGCATAGTCGAGAATAAGTGAGGTTAATTCAGGAAAACAAAACAAAAAGCAGTACACAGCCAGGAAAGCTTTAGGGTCCGCTTGCTCGAGTAGTAAAATACTACAACAACAACAACTTCAAGCCTTAGTCCCAAACGATATTGGGGTCGGCTAACATGAATCGATATATGATATCACCAAAAGGAAAAGAACGAAAATAAAGATAAAAAAGATAAGCTATTATAAAAAAAGATAATATAAAAGAGATGAATATACATATAAAAGATCAAATAAAAAGGATAAAGTAATATTTATATATAAGGATAAAAATATAAAAGAAAAAAAAAGGAGAAAAGATGATACAAGATCACTCTTCCACACGAATACCCGCCCTCCATTTTGCTCTCTCCAAAGCCATACTCTCATCCAATCCAAGAAGAAGCATATCACTTCTGACTCCCCTAACCCACGTCTGTTTGGGCCTTCCTCTCCCTCTCTTCCCTATTTCTTCTCCACACATCTCAACTCGTCTGACAGGTGCATTACTCGGTCTTCTATGCACATGACCAAACCACCGTAGGCGTGACTCCCGCATCTTATCTTCAATAGGTGCTACTCCCACCCTTTGTCTAATTGTCTCATTCCTCACGCGGTCCTTTCTAGTATGCCCACACATCCAACGCAACATGCGCATCTCTGCCACACTCATCTTTTGAATGCAAGTGTCAGAAAAAATTAGAAAATATAAAATGTGAGGTATAAAATAGGAACTGAATCTTACAAAATTAACTGTTAATATTTGTTGGTGCTCATAGATTTATAGATTGGCACATGCTAAAGTGAAGAAATCTAAATATAAGTAAAATAATAATAAAAACTAATAATGATCTGTCTAAAACCACACAAAATAAAATGGAAAAAACCACATCAACAAATCTAAATATTACTAAATTTAAGAGTAAACGACAAAAAGTAAAACTCCACGGTCACGGGCAGAATCATCAAATCACTACACCAGTAAATATGGTCATTGGTCATTGCGCATTAAAGAGGTCATAAATTTTCTTCATGAGTTTCATTTCACTTACCACTAATACAGGTGTCATCATTTCATAAGAAAATCACTTTCTTTAGCTTTTTTCCCTTTCACAAGCATTTTCCAGACCCAAACATGCCCTAGTCTTAGCAGGGATCTAAAGGTCCAGGTCAGATTTATAGAACAGAGCTAAGCATACAAATACAAGTGGGAATTTGTTTCCCATAAAATAAGTATTGGGTTCGAAATTTAATCTAGCTTTAGGCGTGAGGAAAAGTCTATCCTGTTAAGGTTGAAAACAGATTATTAAGAATGAGTTGGTTCATAGCTGTTGGGTGTGTATTTCAGCTCAGGTCTCTAACCAAAACAACTCACACACACCACCCAGGATTGTTTAGCCACTCCACTCACCTAGTTCTAGCCTTTTCTCTCTTACCTCTCAAGCTTTCACTCACCAAGAGGAAACTCTCTCAAAGAAGAAGACTCAAGCCAAACACTCACTCACACCTCACTGTATTGTCCGCACCACACCTCACAGAAAGAAATTGCTAGCTTGTTAATATAATAGAGGAAATGTCCTCAATTATCAAGGTAGGGAATACAAGACAAAACACCAACAGACAAGCTGCAATGGATAGGTAAGACCACAGACCCAAAAACTGAATTATTAGGAGGCAACAATAATACAACTGGCCAAGGAGTATGGTCACAAGAGATATAAGAGAGATGGCTAAACATAGGGTGCAGGCCTTAACATAATAAGTGGAAGGGAGGCCTTGGTAGGACCAATACCTCCAACATTCTCCACCTTATTGGTCCTAGGTGGTGTAGAGTAACAAATACACGGTTGTGAGGAGACTCATCATCGCTGAACCATTACAAGTACATCATTGCAATCATACAAGTAATAGATGAGAACCAAAGTTCCCTTTCGGACCAAGCTTACCGTGCAAACCCACTTCACGATGGACTGAACTCTACCAATCGGTCCTCGAGTTCAGAACCAAAACCATCACAAAACTATTAACAAGCACAACACATGTTAATAGAAAAAGAAAAAGAAAAGGGCGCAGGGTTGACGCTGGGGCCTGCGGTAAGAAAAAGAAAAGGGCGCAGGGTTGATGTTGGACTGCTGAAGCTGCCTGGACGTTGCTGTTGAGCTGCTTTTTGGACTGTTTATTGGAGCTTGAAACGAGACGCAGAAAGCAGAGGATAGGGACGAGGCTGGGTCCTGGTACAGCTGTTGCGCCACATAATCCAAGGCTGAGTTCTGTAGCTGTCCTTTCTGTTGATGCGCAGAGCACTTGAGGCTGGATCCGGGCTGCTGGAACTTGGACGCTGCACAATCACTGGACAGGAAGCATAGCCGCAGAGGCTTAACTTGGGCTGGACTTGTGTTGTACTTAGACTAGGCTTCTGGGCTGCTGAGTTGCTAAACCAGAGCAGGACTTGAACCATTGGGCTGGACTTGGAGCTTGATTTTGGGGTTGGACTTGGAGCAGAGAAGAGACTTGGTCAACTGCTCAGTCAACTTGGTCAAAACTCGGTCAACGCCAGTCAACAGTCAATCAACAGTCTGAAAAAATCCCAATTTTTAATTGGGTGGGTAAGATCGAAACGCCTTTCCTAGGGTTTCGCTCCGGTAAAATTGACTTTTATCCCTTTTTATCGCTTTTGTAGTGATTTAATCTTTTATTTGTGTAGAAATTATATTTTAGGTTTATTACTGCTTTTAAAAATTGATTAAATTGTTGTGTTGTTTTGTGCTGAAAATTTATTATTTATTTGTGCTTATACGGAAGAACAAGGGGTTTGAAGTTGAGTTTGGTGCTCATTAATACTCCCCGCGTGTTCGTGCTAGTTGCTCCGTATAGTGGTGGCCTTATAAATATTTAAATTGTTTTCAGCGAAATTTACATTTTCTTTTGTTGCTTATTTTTTCTCTGTGAAAATGTCTGCTTATAATCAGTATGGTATGGCTCCATTTAATGGAAAATCTGATTTTAGCATTTGGAAACAAAAAAGTAAATGTATTTTAATACAACAAAAATGTTTTAAAGCAGTTGGCGAAACCTATTTAATTTCTGACACAGAAGAGAAAAGGGCTGAAATGAATGAAAATGCATGTTCTGTGATTTATTTGAACTTATCTGACTCTGTGATTAGAAAAGTTGGAATTTTAGAGAGTGCTAAAATTCTGTGGGATAAATTGAATGAACTGTATACTGAGACCTCTTTGCCTAACCGGATATTTTTACTTGAAAAGTTCTTCAAATTTAGACTAGATATGTCTATAGATATTGAAGAAAATCTAGATGTTTTTACCAAACTTATTTCGGATATTAAGTTGTGTGGTGATAAGCATATAGATGATTATTCCCCCATTGCTCTTTTAAATGTTATTCCTGATTCCTTTAGTGATGTGAAATCTGCTATTAAGTATGGTAGAGATAATGTGACTATTGACATTGTGGTAAATGGTCTTAAGAGTAAGGAATTAGATTTAAAACAAATGGGTGAGGGTAGAAAATCCGAGGAAGTTATGCATGTGAGGGGTAGAGAAAATAATAGTAGACGACATAGATCTAAGTCTAGGTCTAATTCGAGGCGTTGCTATTATTGTCATGAACCTGGTCATTTCATAAAAGACTGTCCTAAATCTAGGAAAAATGAGCATAGTGAGCATGCTAATTTGACTACGTGTGAAGATGATTTAGGTGATGTTTTTATGACAAATCTATGTGATTATGACTACTTGAGTTCTGTGATATCTGATTCTTTGGGTAAATCAGATTGGGTGGTAGATTCTGGTTGTACTTTTCATATGTCCCCTTTGAAAAATGTTTTTTCAAACTATAGAGAGATTGAGCATGGCTTTGTGTCTTTAGCAAATGAGAAGAAATGCAATGTGCTAGGAATAGGAGATGTATGCCTTAGGTTTTCTTCTGGTTATGTGCTTACTTTGAAGAATGTTAGGCATGTTCCTGAGCTGTGCTGTAATTTGTTATCTTGTGCTTCTCTTGAAAATGAGGGTTTGAAGGGAAAATGGGGAAAGGGAATCATGAAAGTTGTGAAGGGTTGCTTAGTTGTTTTCAAAGCTGAGATGAAAAACAACTTGTATGTTTGTCATGCTGAACCCCTACTTGATTCTGTGAATTGTGTGCAACCCTGTGTGCTAGGAAAACAGTCTAGAGTTGGTTTTCCTGATCTGCCTAAATGTACTGATGTGCTTGATTGTATTCATGCTGACTTGTGGGGTCCTTATAGTGTTTCCACTCATGGTGGGAAAAATTATTTTCTGACGTTGATTGATGATTTTTCAAAGAAAGTGTGGGTTTTGTTGATTGAAAACAAATCTGAAGTTTTTGATAAGTTTAAAAACTGGAAAACCCTTGTTGAAAAACAAACCGGTAAGAAAATAAATTTTTTAAGGACCAATGTCAGTTTTGATTTCTGTGATAATCAGCTTGGTGATTTATGTGATACTTGGGGTATTTCTATGCATAAATCTGTTCCCTCCACACCCCAACCGGATGGGGTTGCTGAGAGGATGGTTAGAACTTTATTAGAGAGGGTGAGGGCTATGTTAGCTTCATCTGGGCTCTCTAATAAGTTCTGGGGGGAAGCTATTTGTTACGCTGTTGATTTGATTAATCTGTCCCCGTCTGTTCCCTTAGGAGGGAAATGCCCTGAATCTGTGTTCATGGGCAAACCACTTGACTTGCCAAATTTGAGAGTGTTTGGTTGTGCTGCTTATGTGAATCGTGTGAATGATAAATCTGAACCTAGGACTAAGGAATATGTTTTCTTAGGATATCATGATTGCATGAAAGGTTATAGGCTTTGGTGTAGGAGTGAAACTTGCTTCAATGTGTTGATGAGTAAAAATGTCATTTTTGTTGAAAATGAATTTCCTTGCGTGCTTGTTTCTCCTGATGTTGCTCCAAATGAGGTGGAGCATTTGCCTGATGTTCATTCTGATTTACTTGTTGAAACCGAACCCAAATTTGTGGATGAAAATGTTTTTCATGGTGAAAATAAAGAAAATAATATTTCTATTAAGGTGGAGCATGATATGAATGTTATGTGCAATATGCTTGAGTTGCGTGATTGTCATGTTATTAGAGATAGAGACATTAGGAAGCATGTGAGAAATGATATGTGCAATGTGTTTGACTATATTTCCTCTGAGTCTGCTTTAAATGTGCTTAATTCTCTTTTAATTAAAATCTTTGTGATATTTGGTATGCTATTTTCTTTGTGTTTTGAAAATGTGATACCAAATGATTATGTGAGCTCCGCCTGTGCTAGTTGTAGAAATAACATTATTTCTTGTATTTTCTTTGTACTTGTTATGCGTGGTTGTTGGATTAGTTGGGATCCCCAACTTCTCCCGGATGCTTGCTTGCGTGGGCTATTAACATACCTTGTGTTTGTTAATAGCATTGTGATGGTTTCGGTTTTGAACTCGAGGACCTTATGGTAGAGTTAAGTCCTTTATGGACTCGGTAAGCTTGGTGATTTTACCCCGAGAGTACTTGTGTCTCTCTATTACTTGTATTGTCTTTGTGATTATACTTGTAATGATCCGGCAATGATGAGTCCGCGGTTCCGTGATTGTCTAAGTGCACTACCTTGGGCCAAAGGTGGAGATTGTTAATATATTGTTGGCCCAAACGTTTTTTGTATATTAATAATGGTCAACACACTTTTTAGCAGCCCACTACACTGTACACATTTATCTTTCTGGCCTATCAGTATTTTCCCCTCCCGTTAGAAAATAATTCAGCTCTTTGTTGAGCTAATGGTGAGCTGTGTGTGCAGTGTATTATTTGAGTGTCCTTCTAATAAGACCAAAAATCCTATGCTATAAGGACAGCCCTTACACTCATGCTTGTGTGTGTGGTGCGAGAGATACTTCACCTAAAACCAGTCTTCTTCCTCCTTGAGTTTCCTTTGTGTGAGAACTAGAAGTGAGTAGAAGTGAGGTGTTGGCGAGGCTAGAAAGGTGTGTTGCTCCCTTAGCCTAGGTGTGCACAAGAGACTACCGGAAAACCGACGTCCGGACTGCCTGAGCCGGAATCCAGTGACGGAATCGATCCTCAACAATAGCCCAATGGTGTTCAAACAGCCAAGACATAATTCATAAAATCTTATCTCAATATATATATTGATACTGAATTTCATTCCAGCAAAATCAAGCACTGCAGCGTCATATATATATATATATATATGGGGTGGGTCAAGTAAAAAGTAGTCTTCCCATGAACTTTAATCACAAGATACAGACTCAAATAATGTGCAAACGTTTATAGTACAAAGTGGATTTTAAATGAATAAAAGTGCACTCATAAGAGTTAAAAAAAGATTGCCATTTTTAAAAAAATTGTGCGCATTTTATGATTATATATACTTTTATATGTTGGTATACTTATCGTATAAAACTTTTAATAAAAGTTCTTCACAATTACCAAAACGCCACCGTGTTTTTCACTTAAAAATTGATCTCTTCCATCCATTTTTTC